ACATACCGCTAAATAAAATTAATCCGGGATCAGCAAGGGCACTTTGGGAGCCCTGCGTAGCTCCTGGGGCTTCCCCAGGTCACCCTTTACCACCCCACCCCCCCAAAAAAAAAAAAATTATCCGGGCTTCAAAACGACCCGCAGAGGCTGAAATATCTGCCTAAAGGCGTGTTATTTTGGGGGAGAGAAATCTATTTTCGCTCGTCCTGGACATCCCCCCAGCAGCCCTTCCGCCAAGTGTGTTTTTTCGTGCGCCGGGGTTGTATGAAATAGATTTGCCTTTATGAGCTGTGCGGGCACGTATAGGTAAATTCGGAGGTAATTGTAATCCCATATACACTCTCCTCACTCTACACACTCGTACAGATACGCACACATACACTTTGCAAAGGCAAACGTATTTCACACGTACATAAATAAACACGGCAAATACTTGGGCTTTGAATTTGGTCATGAGAAAATCCTGGCACCAGCAGCCGGCCGGTGTTTCTGCCTAAAACGTGAGGAAAAGCAAAGCGGATCCTGCAGCTGCAGCAGCCTCCTCGGCATTGCATTGGTGAAATTCGAAGGAAAAAAAAAAAATTTAGCCAAAGGCACCTTCCGAATTGGCGGGCGTGACATGGACCCACTCTCGCGTTTGCAGAAAACCTTTAACGCCACCAAGCCCTGGAAATCCCCTTGGAAGCACTATCACCCCAAAAGCTGAAATTGCACGAGAAAGGTCTCTTACCTTCTGCACGAATAAAAATTCGGGTTCAACAGAAACGAAAACTGAAGCTATAAAAGATTTTAAAAGGAAGCAATAGGAACAGAAGCAAACAAAATCCGCCCCAAAGTGCATCTGACCGTTTGAAAACGCTGCGAACAAGACGAAATGCCTCTTAAAACGCAAAAATATCTGGGAAACCCCGTCTTTCTCCACGCGCCCATTTTAAATTTAACATCTGAAGCGAAAGAAAGCCTTTATCTGTATTTATTTCCTTCTTTATTTCCGCCCCAATTGCAAATCCAACCCAATATAATCTTTCTTTCGGGTTAACTCCCACCAAAACCTCTCTTGGCGCGGATGTTGAAGGCGCTTTGTGCAGATAAGTTTGCAGGGGTTTTGATAACCTTGACTTTGCCTTTTTTTTTTTTTTTTTTGGTGGGTTGGGTGGCCATTTAAACCCAAATTCC